TTTCATCTTAAGGAAAAAGCTTCTGCCTCACATGGGACCATTCTCTGTCCAGGAGCAAACCTACCCCCTACCCCCCATTCTTGGTCTTAGCAATTTCATTTCCTGTTCATTCTTGACTAAATTTCTGCCCACACAACTAAAGCCATGCCCACGTGGCTTAAAATATTCTCCTCACCTTCTGTGTGAACCTTCCCTTCTTTAGAATCTATGAGAACTCAAAGAATAACCTAACTGTTCACTCTTTCCCATAGCATCAAATTCTTACCAGTACTACTGCCGTAGTTTTCCTACTAGGTATCCTTGTTTCTGCTGTTATCTCCCACAACCAGTGTGCTGCAGAGCAGCCAAAACACATAAATCAAATCATATTAGTCCCTTGCTTAAAATCGTCCAATGACTTCCTCTTGAACTTGAAGTAAAGTCCAAACATCTCACCATAGCCCACAATACCCCAAAGTCTCTGCCATCTGCCTGCCTCCTTGATTTCATCTCATACCATTCCCTCCCTCACCCACTCCATCCCAGCCACTCTGTTGTTTTCTATTATTCAAATACACCAACCAAAAGGGCTATTGCACTTACTATAAACTCTAACTGGGTGTCTTCCCCCCAATTTTTGCATAGTTGGTTCCTCTCATTCGAACATCAACTCAGAAGTCACCCTCTCAAAGAGCACTTCCAGACTGTTTAGTCGTTCTTGATCACATTTTATTTAATTCTCTTTATTCCACTTATCATTGTCTGAAACTGGCTCACTCTGTGCAACTTCTTTATTGTCTGTCATACTACTAGATTCTAAGTTCCATGATAGCAGAGTTCCTTACCCTGCTTAGAACTTAGTAGGTGCTATATACTCAAGTAATCTTCAGCAGATAATCATTACAGAGTGTTGTACTGCCAGTCACTAAATATAACCACCAAATATTCCTTCGTCCTTGTTAACATTGAAAAGAATGATATACTACACATTTTTTCCATGAAAAAATTATGTGAATTTATTCCTGTCTAATGAATCAGTCCTAATGGGAACAAAAACACATTTCAGGAGACAATGTCAATATTCTTCTGGAAAAAAAAAAAAAAAGTACCGGTACATTGGTACACTCATATCATAATGAAAATAGTAGTGGCTGTGTGTAATAAATGGTAAAGGACGGTGAATTTTTATTTACACTAACTTTTCAGCCTTCAAATGGAATTTATCAATTAACATAGCACACTAAACTTAAAATCAAGCATTGGGGCATCTATAACATAAGTAATTATAATTAAAATCACAATCCAAACTTCTTAATCTCAAATTGGCCTCTGAATTCCAATCTCTAAAATCTCTAGTCTCCTTTGCTTTATGCCATAATGAACACTTTCCTTTGTTTGAAACTGAGTGGTCTCTAATTTTTTGGAACACCACATCAAAATGATCAGAATTTCAACATTTCAAGATTTTTTTTCTAATCAGGAAGTGCGGATTAGTGGAACTTCTCTGCCTTGCCTTCACCATCTCTTATAGTAAAGCTCTTCTGTGGTCTTGATATTTCAAAGTAAAACCTTCCTGAACCCAGCAGATAAGAAATTTTTAGTGCCTGTTTCTAACTGTTCACGAGTGAAGACCCATTACAAAAAGTAAATAACAATGGAAACTGAATAGGTACTAGTAGAATTGTTGTTGTTGTTTTTTACTTTTACATTTTATTTCTCCACAGCTATTTCATGGGGTTCAATTACAGTGGGTAATGAGTATGATCCACTGATGAGAACTACCAAGTTTTATTTAACTTCATAACAATACTTTTGGATGTCATATTTATTTGAAAGTAGAATGAGGTAAAGTGCTTATTAAATTTTACTTTAGTCAGAGTCTCCCCACCCCCCACCCCCCACACACACACTCTATATGTAGGTTTGCAGGACTGCCCAGAAACCGAAAATCCTTCTATTGTTTCTCTTCCTTGTAAAGAAAAATCGGTTGGGGATATGATACTCGCAGTGTAAGTCACTACAGGTCTGATGCTACAGTTGTTACGCATTATTGAATCTATCGAATGAAAAGGGAGCACAAAGGGAATTTCCAAATGCAGCTGCTATTTCCCATTTGTTAAATCCTTTTATTATACCATATAAGTACACAGCTGGGAAATACTATAGAGTGGGAGTTAAAACAAAATATTTTGGCTTCCAGACATTCAGAATACACAAAGGCTCCAGTGGAAAGCAGTGCTTGATATCAAAAGAGAGTGAAAGTTTGAAAACATTTCCAGCAAATATGATTTCTTTTATACTAATATATAACATATTTATAAATTTAAACTATTTTATACTACCATAAATCCCTCTTAATGTTAGTTTGGTAAGCAAATTATTAGTATCTATTTTCTGACAAAATTTTAGATCATAAAACTTTGAGAATAACTCACTGAAGCAAACTGGCACTTGCCAAAATACAAACAAATTTTACTAAGGAAAATAAGTAACATGTTCTCTGAAGAAGTAAAATTTGAAGGGTATTATTTCTGTCTCAACCTATATTTTTCAGTGTCATTATTTTTATTGTCCATGACTATATTTGGCAGAAGTGGCAAAATAGATCTTGAATCCACCCCTTCTCTATATCCCATCTACCTCTACACTAGCCCAAACCACTACCATCACTTACTTGGACTTCCTTTTTTATTTTTTTTTTAAGATTTATTTATTTATTTGAGAGACAGAGAGATAGAGAGAGACAGCATGTATGAGCAGGGGGGAGGGGCAGAGGGAAAGGAAGAATCTCAGGTAGACCCCCTGCTGAGCACCGAGCCTGACAGGGGAATCCATCCCACAACCCAGGAGACCCCTACCTGAGTTGAAACAAGAGTCCTTGGATGCCCAACTGACTGAGCCAAACTGGCGCCCCTTACCTGGACTTCTGAAGTAGGCTCCCCACAGGTCTTGTTCCTTTCACTCTTGTCTCCCTCCCATCTATTCATACTATAGCCAGAGTGACCTATCTGCAGTGTTTTAAAACCCTTCAATGGTTTTTCATTGCACTTAGAATCAAACATCACTTCCATAACATTATCTCTATGGTCTTGTTGGATACAGCCCTTACCTGTCTCTCCAACAAGATCTGAAGTTACACTGCATCTTCACTCGTTTATACTCCAGCCTCAAAGACGATTTTTTTTATATATATTTATTTATTTTTTAGAGTGAGAGAGAGAGTAAAGGGAGAGGCAGAAGCAAAGTGAGAGAGAGAATCCAAGCAGGCTCCCCACTGAGCCTGAAGTCTGACAGGGGTCTTCATGTCACGGCCCCAAGACCACGACCTGAGCTGAAACCAAGAGTCAGACGCTTAACCAACTGGCACCCCAAAGACTATCTTTCCTTTCCTGATGTTCAGCTATATTTTTCTCACCTCAAATATGTCACACATGCTGTTCCTTCTGCTATTTTTATTTTTTCTTCTATTATTTGCCTGGCTAGTTCCTATCATCCTTGGGTCAGAGAAGCCTTCCTATCCCTCTATGGCTTATCTCATTATTTCTCACATAGCATCCTGTTCTTTTTCTTCCTAACACATATCACAATTTTAATTATCTATTTATGTATGTATATTCATTTAATTTGTCTCCTCTCCTAGATATAAGTTCCAAGAAAGCATCATCTTGCAAGTTTTTTCACCACAGTACAGCCAGCACTTAGTAGCATGCTGAGCCCAGAGAAGGTGCTCTATAATAAACACTTGATGAAATAAAGATAAAACATGGGCCTAGTATCTTCTCGAAAAGCCAGTAGCAGGGACTGGATATCTGTGTCACCCTTGCTATCTTGGAGGTATAAAAATGATTCAGTTCAATCAGAAAAGCAGACTTTTGGTCTTTTAGCCTTGCCTTTTTATACTCTCCTCTCTCCCCCATGCAAGAAAATACATCTTCCACTGGAGCTATCTAACTGTATAATGACAATGTCTTATGAACCAAAGTCTAGAAAAGTCTTATCTTTCCTTCCATTCACTTGCTTTTCACCTGCTGCTTCAGGGTACTAGCTGTGTCTGCCAAATCAGCTGAAAAAGAAGAATGTCTGCCTCCAAGATTTATAAAATCAAGTCTTTGACATTAAACATTAAGCACAGAGCAAGAATTTAAATACATGTTATCAATAGTAAAGGTGTTTTTAAATATTACCTTATTGTTATTAAAGAATAAAACTTTTCCTCACAGCCTACTTAAAATGTCTTTCATTAACATAACCAAAAGCTAAAAAGTGCAAAATAGGTTGTCAATTCCTAATCTAATAAAATATGTTAAGGTTTGGTCAGTTCTAGATGCTAAAAAACTGGGTATTTTTGTTTTAAACTAGACAATGCCACTTACTGTGGCTTCTGTTTCAATGATTAGAGACAGAATTTCACATGGGAAAGCTGGCTAAGATACTGCATGTATTTGATGTTGCTGTTTCTACCTTCAGGGAAAACTCCCGTAGTCGGCTGACTGATACTCAGGAGTTTTGCCCGTCCTTTTGAAATTAATATATAGGCACATAAGTGAGAAAAGCTTTATTATAAATCAAAAATGACCATTAAAAATGACAAATATCTGCATTTCCCCACTGAAGATATATTCACCATATGACCTCATTCATAGACATGTTTGCTTAATATATATTTCAACATTAATACACAGCCACACTTTATTTGATCATACTTATTTTGTGTCATTATCAAGTTTGCCACCTTATTAAGAGATTCAGAGAATAAGATAACCAAACCTACCCCCAAATTAAATTAAATATCTTTGGCAAGTTGACCTAATAATGGATAAAAACTAAATCACAAACCATTTTCCAATTTTTCCCAGTTACTAGCATATTAGTAATATTAATAATATATACATGCTTGTTTCATGATCTAAACACAAGTAACTCTATGAATTGCATTTTGAGCTTTTTCTAGAACACCTATTTGTGATGAGGCCATACTAACAGACACACTTAAGGACAGCGGCCAGATTTTAAAAGCTCACCATTCTTTGCTGAGACGACAGAACACTGTCCCAGTCAGCATCTTGTTGAATGGTATTGACAAGTGTTGGGAGCTCCTCAGAGTGAGGTTTGTTGTGCATTATGGGGTGCAGAGGCAGATGGGAGGCCACATGTTGATCACCGCCCTCTTCCTTTTCCCTTGAGGTCAAATCTTGGGTCATCGTTTCCTCTCCATCAGCTGCACAGGCAAATGGAGAGGTGGCTTGCTTGGAAGACATTCTTCTGCAGAAGAAGGAAATAGCATGGATTCAAAATGCCATCATTGACAAAAGAACAAACCATCCCTTACATTTGACTAATTCGGGGAAAAAAAAACAAAAATGTACATTTTCTAACTTCACGTTGTTTATGAGCTACTCTAAACCACTTTGAAAAAGAACTTAGCTTATCTGTTCTACTCTCCCTCTCCACTTTTAAGTCAGCAAACCTCTTCAAAGTAATTGCTATACATTTTCTCCCTTAACAATCCATAAATGACATTTTCATGGAACGAGTTTTCATAACATATAGTATATGTATGTGTGTATTTTTCCTCCCAGTTCTCCCAACTAGATTATCAAATTAGGTTGATGGTTAACAATGGAAAAAAATAAATTAAAAGTGAATGAACAGATGAATAAGCCAGTTTAGAGGATGATTTTAAAGTAGAAATATCCAAAATTCTCTTGTGCTTTATGTGGGAACTAAAGAAATCTATGTGAGAAAATATAATCAGGAGAGTATGTAATACACATTGAAAGTCCTAAGCAAATGTGGTCCTGACTTCTTAGTTTATACCTCGTATTATGAGTGTCAGGGCCTAACACTGTTTAGTGCCAATCTGATCCTTTCTAAAGATCTTCAAATGTGTCAACTACTTGAGTCAACTTGTAAGCGACATATTGATTGAGTGGCTGATAATGTTAGATTAGTCTTAGGGCAATTTCATAACATTTTAATTAAGTATATGAAATAACTATGCCTCTATTTTATATTAGAAAGTACATACAAACTTCAAAGCATTTACCGTGAAAATAGTAAAATGCCTACCATACATCATATTTTTAAACTGCAAAAACAATCACCAAACATTCATCTATGTACCCACAAGTAAACATCGACAGCACTCTGCACAAGGTCTCCATTCTGTGTTTTGTCAAGCTGATTTTCTGAGCAAAATGTTTAAAAATAAAACCACCAAAAGTTTATGACTTAAAAGAAAAGACAATTAAGTATTTTTTCTAAAACTTTATGTTGTTTTCAGTTTATAGCATCTTTAGCTCTAAAACTGCTGTGTAATGAAGGAATAAAATCTCCACCTTAATTGCTCTTTAACATTAATTGATTTCGTACCATTTTTTAAAAAATGCACAAATCAGTTAACATAGGAAACCACATGAGCATTTTTCAAATTAGCAAATCATTAACTTGCTAGTACTGTTTCTACAGACAAATAAATACTGATTAAAGGGTCTAGAAATCTGAGATTAACAGTTAAATTTACAAATCTGTCACATGCTTTCATGAATATTGCAGTGAAGGAAATATCAAGTGCAAAGAAAAATAATTAAGTTAATTCCAATTTAAACAGTAGTTTTTATGTAGCAGCCCATGTTTCACATAGGATTTAACAGCTAATGCTAAATTTCTCACAATTAATGAGGGGGCTCAGATTTAGTATCCTACAGTGAAAAAATTAATATAAGATCAGCTAATCTAATTATGCACAGTTCTAAATAAAAGTATTACAGGCTTTTGAAGTGCTTTGAAACATACTAAAATGCTGATACCTACTTATAATAATCATTCTACAAATAATAAAATTTCATCTGCTAGACTCGATACTAGAAAGTAAAATGGGGGAAAGGAAGTGTAGGAGAATGTCTATATTTTCTTTGAGAAGAAAGAAATGAAATGTCCTAAAGAGTAGTATATCAAAGAATCAGTAGGTATATTCTTGACTAGTTTATATCAAAATTAGCACGTGGAAAAATGCATACACACATAAGGAAAAGAACACCAAAGGATGTTTTTCATTGTACAGGGATCATTGCAAATACTGCAGTGAAGCCAGGCAAATTATAACTGGTCTGCAAGTTTATCCAGAATTTACCATAAACAACAAGAGTGTTTTCATAGTTCAGATAATGACAGTACCAATAATGTAATCATTCACATTGCAAACAAAAGAGTGAATTTACTGCTGCCTTTTAAAACAGTTAAATACAATTGAAAGTCATAAGCCAAAACTCAGACTGACTTTAGCTCCCCAACAAACATCCTCTATTATAAAGTGACTTGGCTCCTTCCAATAGTAATGTCTGTGATGGTTGCTTTAGTATAAATTAATCATGACACAAAACCCAAAATGAAAAGTCTCTTAAGAATAATTTCAAGTATAAACTGCACCAATGAACAATAGTGTGCAATCCTAATTAAACACAACCATGCAGCTGTAAAAATAGACTAAATCTGTCCAAAGCTGAGTTGAGTTTAAAGGCTGGTTTGTTAGAGTGTTTTCTTAAGGAAGGCTGGGCCCTCAGTCTTAATCAGCCAATAAATTATTTCCTGCAATTACATTAAATAGAAAATTATCTTCAAATGGGGAGTGTTAATTGAAAATCAAAATTCAGAGGGAAGTTTAGAAATTACACGCTGAATACAATTAGTGAGGAAAGGCTTCACCTCTACTTCATCAACAGTCTTCTGGTGATTCCTCCGGTGACCATTCAGGAAAGCTACCTATTTACAACATCACACAATTTGTCTTTTATTTTGCACCTACAAATACAAATGTCTATCAAGGTTGCGGATGAAAGATAGGTTGCCAAAAAAAAAAATGATAAAAGGCAATCTGAAATTTGACTGTTCATCCCCAGTTCACACCATCCGCTCTGGGGCAAGGAGAGGGGGGGAATGTAGGGCAATAATGGTTAACAACCAAAGAAGGCACATTCAACTTCAGAATCCTTCCCTTTACCTAAGGAACCAATATTTTTGTTCCGAGAAGCATACTTTACTTATCATATTTTATTTAATTTCTTGAGTTTACTACAGTTCTCAACATGTTGCTAGCAGAGGAAAGGGTGATTGTGCAGTACTGCTCTACTGCAGGCATTTCCTTCCGATAAAATTGTTGGGCTTCTTTCAGGTTGGTTTTTAATGCTGGTTTTGTTGTAAAATTTGGTAGTTTTGTTACATTTGTAAAAGGAAAATGTGTACAAATTCTTTTTAAAGTAAAGTTTATTAAGTCAGTCTTAAATTTTCTGATTATTAGATTCAATTTACTGATTACTTTTTACACAATTATTTTATTAAAGAATCCTTGAACTTACTGATTACATCCTCATTCATTTCTTTACTTTAGCTTCCCTTTTTAAAAACATTTTACTAGATCAACTATACTATTCTGGAAGCTGCAAAGATACTTGACTTTTGGTAATGCCTTACTATAACCACTGCACCATGGCTACCCTCCTTAGAAACTCATAAATCAAATGTACACTTGATGTTAATGTTTTAAAAATGTCACCTGGGATGCTCAATTTTATTTTTAATGCTCATTTAGTAATTTTTCATTACAAAAAATTTCATCCCCTACTTATTAGAACTGTACCTTACTTTAGCTGCTGTCATATAAAACTAGGAAGCAAAAGAATCCAAATCCTTGTGAAAATGGTCAATTTCTATGTGACTTTACTTTGTTTTATTTTTGCACTATTATAACTTAAAAATCATTCAAATGAATTGTTTTTTTAATTTGTATTAAAAAAAAAAATCTCCCTAGTTATACCCCCTGAAAACAGGGGTTTATAATGGAAGTGCTGACACAACCCTAACTAAAGCAGCGCAAATGTTGCCGCTATAATACACAAAATCAAGTTCTATTATTCTAAACTATCCTCGCTCATGGGATTTTTCTTTACTGTGCTCCCAGCCAAACTGCTGAAGCATGAAAAATTTAAATGCAATCAAATGCGCCCAATTCTACTTTACTAGAACAAGTGTCTACAGTGGTACAATCTTAAAAGGAGATGCAACAGATTTGTTTGGTGTTTTTTTTAACTGTTTATTTATAATACAGTGCATTGGAGATAAAATAAAAGAGGAAATTACACTCACATGGTACTAGTGTATTGACTACACAGAGTACATTATAATCAGAGAGAAAAACTACATTGTCAACTTATCACATTGGTTAAACAAGATGGTTTTCTGGGGCATAGCTATTATCAAGTAAAACCTCCAAAGAGAATTACATATCTTTGGGACACATGAAACTAAATTCCCATCATGTGTTCCCCGAGCTTGAAATGTCTCTGCCCAGAAGATCAAGTGAATTCCCAGGATGCCAGGCCATTGGGAAGAACTTCAGGGCTTAGGACTTTTGGGAATGAGATTGTTGGAAATAAAGTCTCCAGTAATGGATAATGTTTTCTAGGAAGTCAGTAGGAGTATCTCTAGAAAGATGATAATTATTTTACTTCAAACCCAAAACCCCACCACAAAATCTGAATGTTCAGGCCATCACAAACTTATTAAGACAGTAAATTTACTTTATGTTCTTTAACAAGAAACTAAGGTTAGGGGGTCCAAGAGTTTATAAAATGGTAAGGATATGGACATCTATACATTAAGCCCTCTAGCTCAGAAAATCAAATTTTCTAGAATTTTAAACCAGCTCGAGCTGCTCTTGTTATTTTTAAGAAATAGTTATTTGTATATGTTTAAAGGTTAGGATTATTTTAAAACAACTTTCTCTTAGGGCATTACAACTTGAAATTACCTTTTTTTTTTTTTTAAACTATTGCCTGGGAAGAATCCATTTCAAAACTATCCTTTGGGATTTACATAGGTATCAAAAAGAGTCACTGAATTTATTGGAACAATATTTTTAACTTGATATTTAAAAATGCTTCCTTACTTCTCAGATAATTATCAAATGGCATTCACTTGTTAGGCGTATTACATTTATTCCAAAGAAGCTCAGTTTTTAACATAAAGCAATATTTAATAGTTGGTTTACTTAAAGAAAAAATTAAACATTCAGGCCAATATTCACAATTTGTTTTTGCAACTCAGCCCCAGGCTACCAAGGTAGACTTATTTTTGTCAGATAATTCACTGTTAATTTAATACTGCAATTGATCTGATACTAAGAAATAAACAACTAATTTTCCAAAAATATAACACAGTGCCTCTCATTTTAAGCAGCATGAGTAACAGATATGTTCAGCTGCCAA